GCAATTTATTTGTAATCATTTTCTAGTACTGTGATATAAGATTTTGCTTGTATCTTGGAAAATAATTCCTGAAAGTTAAGCATTCCTGTAGTGTTGTAGCATTAGATTAATTTCAAATAAGTAGGAAAGCAAAGATTCTACGTAATGTACATTACAACACTGTGATTTAATCTGTGATTATTGTTTGTTTTTTGTGATGTAGTTACAATAAATCTGATTATTCCATTGTTTTTGTTTAAATTGTCCTCATTATGGGTTATGGTTGGTTGTTTGAAAATATTTTTTAATTACTATATATCTTCAGAACTTGAACTTCAGTAGTTGAACATAAAAATAATCCAATATCAATTGTAACAGTTCTTTAATATCCATTGTAATCAATAGACCTTAGGGTAAATAACATCAAATCTCATTGTGACCTACTTGTGTTGATAATTTTTAATATGACATACAAGGTCTTAGTCCAAAATGTTTAGATAATATAAACCCTTATCGAGAAGCAGCTTTGGTTTGATCGATAGATTTTTTAAAATTGTGCAGCCCAAGACTGATATTTTGCTCCTGCCACTAAAAGTTTCAACTGTTCTACATCTATAATTTATTTCTAGCATCTAGACTCTACTACATTTTGATGCGAGATATCAAATAACCAAAATGGAAAATTGCCAGATTTTCTTAGTTAAATATTGTGTAGCTTGTTAACTTTATCTTATGGTTTTTGCACAAATATAAGAAATAATTTGATGGCCAAGTCATTATTGGCAAAGCTTTCTTTAATTTTTTTCCATGTTGAATTATTTTTAGTATTCAAATCAATATTTTCTAAAAGCTATTCATTTACTCAAGGTGATTTTCATCCAAACGTCTCACCCATTGTAAATTATTCTGTGCTCTATTTGGGATGAGCTCTATTAAAAAGCAATTTGGTGATCAAAGCAATCTATAATGACATTATAAAGTAATATGAAAGACGTTCCTTAAAGTTCAAAGAGAATCAAATTGAAAGCACTAATGTCACTTGTCAAACCATTGTTTTATCATTTTTAGTTTTACCATCAAATATGTTAGCCAAAAGAGTGCATTTCAATCTCTGCCTGTTTGTTGCTGCAGGTTTGAGTCTCCCTAGTGGTGCAGTGAAGTTAAAGTGGCCCAAGATTTATTATTTCTACATGATCCTTTCTGATATCTTTACTGTCGCAAACCTCGTGACAATCGGAGTCAACTTGTTAGCTCCCAACGTTTCCATCACCAAGAGATGTTACAGCGGTTTCACAGCGCTCGCTACGGCTCAATCTGTCATCAAACTGGTTGCCTGTTACATTTCCAGAAATAAATTTGCTCACTATTTCAAACTTTGGGACAATCTTGTGGAAAAGAGTGCTGACAGAGAGTTGCAGAAAAGTTTGACTGAGAATTCAAAATGGATTAAACGATTGTCTACATTCATGTTTCTGTTCATGGTCGGACCTATGATACCCTGGGGCTCGTTGCCTCTCTTCATAAAAGTGCTGTCCTACATTATTCCTGCTTTGGAAGACGGGTATCACTTCATTGCTGTTCCGGCACAGTTCCCATTCGACCCTCTTGTATCTCCTGCTTACGAGTTCGTCACTGTTTTCCAGGGTGTAGCCGCAGCAGCTGTAAACTCTAAATTGATTGCTTACGATTGTATGATTTACGGGCTCATTTCGTGTTTGGTTGTGAAACTGAAATTTTTGAAAACCTCTTTTAAAAGCATTGTTGATCCATATCAAGGAAGATCAAAAAGTGTTTTGCTGAAAAAAGGGGTGAGAAACCATCAGAAACATCAGCTGAGCCGCTGGGTACAAGAGCATTGCGACTTGATGGACCTGTGTCGTTATCTGAATAGACTTTACTCTCCGGTACTTCTCCTTCAGCTCTTCTTGGATGTTTTGATCCTCTGCTCCAATGCTTTTGTGGTAGCTTCAGCAACCGTAACCAAGATGGAAATAATGTTCTCCTTCGGATACGTTTTGGGAACAGTCATCCAGCTTTATACACTGTGCTGGCTTGGAGAAGAAATAACAAATCAAAGCCTTACCTTAACTGATGAAGGGTTCTGGCAAGAATGGTATTCTAATCCTCGTTACATCACCAGTAGTTTAAAGATAATTTTTGAGAAAGCTAAAGTTCCACTTAAAATTTCAGCTTTTGGAACTTTTAATCTATCTATTGAGACTTTCAAATCCATTGTTGGCACAGCTTATTCATACTTTATGGTTTTAAACCAAATCAAAAAGAAAAGTCTCGAGTAAAATAACTACCGGTACCTAAACACTTTGCAGTTGATGTGTGTGTATGTTTAGATATTTGTTTTGTGAATCACAAGTTGTCTTACAGTAGAACAATATGTGTAAGTAAAAATTGAACGATAAAATAAAAAAAAAAATACAGAATATTAAAGCTTAAAAGAGGCTTGTTGTATTGGTGAAGAAGGATAAGTTAGAAAGAACCGGAAAATTGGCTCTGGGCTATGATAATTATATATGACATTTAAATAGTTACTTTGTTCATAAGATGTTCTTTATCACAATTTATATAGTAAGCGTGTGTAAATGTAAAATATTAGTCAACCAACACCATTATAATATAATAATATATTATACAATACAATAAATATAGTATACCATTATATGTACTATATACCACTTCCTTTGATGCCTTGTATGTGTCTATAAATTAGTTAAATACTCTATTGCCTGTTAACAACTAACTAGTGTACATGTTGCTCGAATTCGAGCAATTGCAAAGTATTACAGAAGATATTTCAAAACGAATAACAGTCATATTTACAACGAATTTAAAAGGGTCGACTCAAAGATTACCGGTGTGTAACTCAGACTATGTTTATCTTCGTTATTGATAAGCCTAAAGCATTCGGGCCGGTTTTCTCCTTCTCAAAATGTCTCGCTGTATAGGCAACACAGGTCATTGATAGACCAATTGAGAACGAAAAGTCGTTTGGGGTAGTGTTAGGGCGCATTTGTAACCTAATAGTTGAGATTGTCCTGGGTCAGGTGCTGACTGTTATGAGTTAAGCCTATTACGCGCCACTGTTTTGTAGCTGCGGTCATTATCATGATTATGCCTCCTGTCTATGTTTCGTTGTCGTCGCGTCGGAGGCATTTAAAAGAAAAAAAAACAAATAAACAAATTATAGCTACACAAAACAGCGATAAATGCACAAATTTAAGTTATAATCATGCTAACACGATCCGTCATAGCGACACAAAACAACGATAAATACACAAATTTAAGATAAAACCATACTAACACGATCCGTCATGGGGGTTATGTTTACACAAACTCAAATAGTAAATAAATGTACACAATGCGTTTCATTGAATTGAAAAATAAATAACAGCAATTAAATTATACAGCTGATCAAAATGTAAACAATTATGTTCTTCATAAGGATAACATGGGAAGTTTCAAAGCCACTGGGGCAGAGCCCAAGGGACTTTTTCAAAAATGTAAGGCCAGTTTGCAAATCTACGCGACACGCTCTTTCCAATGAGACGTCAGTGGATAAAATCGGTTAAGAAATGGCGGAGGAGTTCAACCGACAAAGTTTCATGTAGCGTATTAATTATATAGATTACATAGTATACAGGGTGAGTTTTAATTGTCCCCCCCCCCAACTTTTTTCTACATTTTTTCAAATATCAATCCCAGACCACTTCCAAACATTGTTGGGTAGTAAGTACTTCATTTTGACAAGGTGGTCATTTCCGGCCGCCATCTTGGATCCGCCATATTGGATGCAAATTTTTTTTTTCAAATGTAAAGGTGGGGTTGTGACCCATTATTTCGAACTACATTTTTACCCTGATTATAATGCCGCAAACCGTTTAAGTAAATCTTGATTCATTCTAAAGTTACGAGGGCTTTTTAAAACTTTATTTTTAGCCCATTTTAACATTGTGCATTTACAAACTAAGACCATAATCCCAAAATAGTGCTAGATAATGATAAGTATACACTACCAGTAATTGTCCACCTATTTTCACTTGGTTATGACTGATGTATTTTTTTTCGGCCGCCATCTTGGATCCGCCATTTTGAAATGTGATAAATTATTTTAAATATGAAGGGGGTGTTGTGACCCATCATTTTGAACTACTTTTTTAAGCTAAACTCAATGCCGCAATCCATTTTTTGTTATCAAGTTTTATTTATGAAATATTGAAATTTTTTTGATAAAAATGTCAATATTTCAAAATCAAAAAATGAAAATGAAAAACGGATTATGGAATTAAGTTTAGCTTAAAAAAGTAGTTCAAAATGTTGGGTCACAACACCCCCTTCATATTTAAAATAATTTATCACATTTCAAAATGGCGGATCCAAGATGGCGGCCGAAAAAATACATCAGTCATAACCAAGTGAAAATAGGTGGACAATTACTGGTAGTGTATACTTATCATTATCTAGCACTATTTTGGGATTATGGTCTTAGTTTGTAAATGCACAATGTTAAAATGGGCTAAAAATAAAGTTTTAAAAAGCCCTCGTAACTTTAGAATGAATCAAGATTTTTTTAAACGGTTTGCGACATTGTAATCAGGGTAAAAATGTAGTTCGAAATAATGGGTCACAACCCCACCTTTACATTTGAAAAAAAAATTTTGCATCCAATATGGCGGATCCAAGATGGCGGCCGGAAATGACCACCTTGTCAAAATGAAGTACTTACTACCCAACAATGTTTGGAAGTCGTCTGGGATTGATATTTGAAAAAATGTAGAAAAAAGTTGGGGGGGGGGACAATTAAAACTCACCCTGTATAAATTTAGTACCCATAGGATATGTAATGTTGTACCAACAGACAAATAGAATTAAATATAGACCGTCAGCAGTGCTGCGGTTAGCATAAGTTCTGGCGTCCATCGCTGTGAGCGCCGTGTAGTTGCATAACCATACTAAAAAAAACTTTCTGAGCTATTTGGTAAAATAATCAATTTATAATTTATAGCAGTTTTTTTAGTTTAGCAATATATACAACTACAGTTGTAAACTTTATTTCTTTGATAGCTTAAAATTTACCGTAGCACATTCAAAGATATACAGCTCGCAGCAGTAATAGGCGTTTCTTCGGTTGTTGTGATGATTATTTAGTTTCCCAATGGTTGAACCAACTTGACCAAACTGTCAATCCGCTCCAGCAGAACTTTATCATCAAATCCGTACTGCAACAATAATTAATCACAATTAACGATTGAATGAAACAATAAAGCATTCCATCTTTGATTCACCATTCCAAAGCTATTAAAATGTTTGCTGACAAGTAAATAAACTACCAGGTAAATTATGAACACGAATTTGATTTTGTTGCTACAGAGTATAAAATCAACATTAGTTTTTTTTTTTTTAACTAAATGTTGATGGTACAAATTTGTACCATGTTTAAAGCAGTGGTTGTGGTAATGAGTAAATTACTTTTCAATGTCATATTAGACATGAAGCAAGTGACTATTTAGTTAATGGTAATTGATTTGGGGGGAGCACTTATAGAGTTAGTATTTTTTTTATCGATAAAATAATATTACGTTTATTCATAGCATTACCCACCCACCGCCTTCGGGATGGTTTTAGCCTCCCTACACTTCTACTGGTCAATCGCTGCTACTGCAATCAGCTACTTCAAATCTCTGTAACTCTGTGTCATGTTTGTGGTTCGTCCAACAAATCAGCTCTTGTATGGTAGTTGATCCAAATGTAATAAGTAGCCTAAATAGTTCAGGCAGTTGATGGCATGCTGAAAAAGTTCACCAAAACACGTCTTCACCACTATGAAGACCTCTTTATAAGAAAATTGTAGAATACATACCACTGCTTCCTTAGAACAGAGAAATGTAAGGTTTAATGCTTGTTTGTCCCTTATTCCCTATTTATCCAAGTGCTAAAAAAAAAAAAAAAAAAAACAATAAACCAGGAAGGTATAGAGGTATTGGGTAAAATAGTCAACTACTATACAAACACAAACCTTTAGTGCCTGTAGAATGCACCTGTTAAAGATAGCTGGTCTATCCAACATCAGGTTGATGAGGGCCAAATAACCCCAGACTCTTCCAATCCTGCAGTCGAGCATGTTGGCTTCGTTAAGCGCAATTTCTGCAGCTTCCATGTCATCATCCTGGTGCAGACAACGCAAACAGGCATAAAACCAATACATTTTAACTTGATACACAACGCATAAAAACCTGTAATAAATTGAACAATAATTTGTGAAATACAGATTATATATAGATATTACCTTAAAGAGACATTCCACTCCCATGTCCAATCTTTGTCTCCAGTAGATGCTCTGCTGAAATTGGTGAAAATACACTTTCTAAAAGCTGCAGTTTAACTGAAGAGTGAGGACATGGCAGTCCGCCGTTATTTTTGTTAGTTCAACGACACGGCCGTCTCCTGAACATCACGACTCCACAGCCTACTTTATTGTGGAACTCTACCTTCTAGATCCATTATCATCAATGATAAACTTGTAGATAGAATAAATACCCCCGCCACAGCAAACCTGCAGACTAAGCTAATTTCCATTTGTCTGAAATAATTTTCAATTAAATCTATTTAACTTAAAAAACATTTAGGTTTAATGAGTACCTAGGTTTGCTGATACAAGGAAACTAATTAAGTGTGGTTTTTAGTAAAATACTAATAGCTTAGTATAAAATAAATAAAATTGCCAAGTTTGATAAAAAAATATCTATAAACATTCAAACTACAACATTTTTATTTTCCATAAGAATAACATGGGGATTTTTAATTTACTTTTTTTTTAAATTTTCTCTGTTACCAATAACAATAACCATACAAAAACACTTTGATATAGGCCTACTAAATTATTTGTTTTTTAAGCTTTTTAAAAAGGTCTAGAGAGAAATTGGGAAATTTTGTGTTTTGAGGGTCAACAATGAAAAAAACCAACTTTTACCCCATAAAACCCCCTGTAAAACCTTGTTCCGATGGTCCGATCATGCTGGTTCGCGAACTCATTCAAGTTTATCCCGTCTTACACGTTTAAACCGAATTTCATCAAAAATTACTCGAGTTATCGCATTCACAAACACATATAGAGGTTTAACATATTAGAGGTTAACTGTAAGAAAGGACCATGAGGTCCTAAGTTCGCCTCAATAAAGAAGGATTTTCATTTCATATATATAATCTATATATATAATGAATATGAAATCTATATATATATATATATATATATGAATTTGAACGGATGGTGTTTTTGGCCTCTGGGGATATCAAAATGAAAAAGTAAAACGGCTTTTAGGTATCTTATAATCCTGTGACCCCTTAGTTCTACCCTGAAATAACGGGTAAAATGGTTCTAAGTTAGAGTGTACCACCCTGTAATATATTAAGATAGGATTTTTTTTATGTAAAAGTTTCACTTACCACAAAAGCTGTTATACCCAATCCAAGCCAAGAGAGAGGTGTAGGGCTGTCCCTACAGATGATCATATAGTAATCTCGAGCAGCCTTATGGTCTCCTTCCAGCATGAGAATGTGTCCTAACCTGTCAACAAGATAAATATAGTACCTGCAATATACATTGTAAATATTAGATTGTTTGTCTTTAAATTGACAATACAAGTATTGTATTAAGAAGTTACGGCAGGGAATTTTGCAAGGATCCAGATGTAGTGTGTGAGTTTAAATGTAGAAGGATTAGATAGCACATGTTGAGAAAAGGGAATCACAATAATCTCAAACACTAAGTAATAGAAAGGAGCCATGAAGGAAGACGGAAGACAATCAAGAGGAAGGTTATGGCAAAAATAGTGGAGCCAAGTGACAGCTGATATGAAGAGAATAGGAGCAACTGAGGCTCTGAAGATTGAGAGAGGTGGAGTTGTTTTGTTGGTGTAGCCAAATATCTACTCATACATAATATAGTTCTAGATGTAAGGTGTAAGTAAGAATTCATTGTACACATTTTCATTCTAATCTTGAAAACTATTATAGTTATTTATTTATCATTTCAACGGCTGACGCCAATGCATAGAAGATTGATAGAGATACAATTTAAAGGATGTTATGGACTGACTGCTATAAATAAAAAAAGTGAAGAGTACTATTCAACATTTCAATATAATCCAACTGATATTCTTGCCCCATTATAATAGTTGTGTAGTTAATTTATACTGTGTCTTCTTCCTCATACAGTAGACTCCCTCTTATTTGGACACCTCTTTAACCGGACAATTTTTATCATCACATCAGTTTAACCGGACTAGATCGGCAAGAAGTGGGCGGTACTGAAACGACTGTTCTCGTGGGAAAGATTTGAGGCCATCAGTAATCACGTGTATGAATACGTAATATAATAATCATCATTGGCTTATACAGTATGCGTTTAAACGGTCTCTTTTAACGAGTTTTTGGGGGCGTCGGTTTAACCTGGAAAACCCGTCATCTGGACTGGCCTCGGTCCCGAGGAGTCCGGATAAGAGGGAGTCTACAGTACCTATTTATTATTGTAAAGGAAATAAAAATGCACTTTTTATAAGATAGCTGCCTCTATGGTTTTTAAACCTACTTAGTTTGCCTAATAGGTCAGAATAACATCCAATCAAAATGTATCATAATATTCATAATAGTGTCCTCAATTTGTTTGTGTATATTTTTACAATTTTGTATTCAAACAATGAATGAATCTGTATTACAAATAAAATTTTGTATTTTCAACCCACAATTAAATAAAACCACATGTTTAAAACATCGCTGAAAGGAAGTTACCTCAAATTAATTAAATGTTGATTTTGTCGATCCTTGAAGTTAAGGGCAACCTGATATGCTATTTTAGCTTCCTCTTGTTTTTGAAGTTTAAACAAATTGTGTCCTTTTAATG